AAAAGGTTTTAAATGTGTCGGTGGTAGCATTGTTCCTGAAAAGTGTGAAAATGGAACCTACCAAAATGAATTTGGTCAAGTTAAATGTAAACCTTGTTTAAAGGGTTATGATTGTTATAATTTTTATAATTTTACTGAAACTTTATGTCCGAGAGGATTTTATTGTCCTGAAAAGACAGCTTACTCAGAAATCTTTGGATGTCCAACTGGTACTTGGTCAAATCGTACTGGTCTTAATGATTCTATAGAGTGTGATCCTTGTCCTCCTAAGTTAGTAACTTTATTTATTTATCTTTTTTTAATAAAATAAATGAATAAAAATAGTGTTTGCTTCTATTGGTTTAATTCTCAAAATAAGAAATTCTAATGATATTGTTTTGTAGAGCATTTTGGTTTAGTGAAGTGAATCTCAGAGAATCAAAGGTCTCTGTAGCTAAGAGAGTCAAAGATCTCTGAAAAATTAGTATTTAAAAAAAATATATATGAAATTTTTTTTGGGTTTTTAACTTTGAAATTAAATCTGTAGTTTTTAAACATTATACCTAGATCTTAAATTAAGTATTTATTTTCATTTTTATTTTTGCTCTTTCAAAGTATGATCAAATATTTAAAGTTTTTTTGTTTATTTACATAAATTGAACATAAAAAATAAAAGTTAAGTATAGATTAAACAGGAAAAATAAAATACTATTATAAATAACACAAAATTGAATAGTAACTGAATTGAATGACTGAATAAAAAAATAGTAAAATATTTTGAACACAAGTTATTTTATTTTGTTTTTTTTATTTTTGCATTGAAAAACTCATTAAATAAGAAAAATTCATGTATCTACATATATATACATACATATATATATATATATATATATATATATATATATATATATATATATACGTATATATATATATATATATATATATATATATATATATATATACATATACATATATATGTATATATATATATGTATATATATATATATATATATACATATATATGTATATACATATATATGTATATACATATATATATGCATATATATATATGTATATATATATTTATACCTATAAAAAATTTTCTTTAGTTTTGTGTGTAGTTTTCTTTAGTTTTGTGTGTAGTTGTACCTATAAAAATTTTTCTTTAGTTTTGTGTGTAGATTTTTGAAAAATTTTGAAGTTTGCCCCCCCCCCCCGCCCTTTTTTAAAGTTTTTACCCCCTCTGCCGCCCACTTTTACAAAATTATTCACTTTTAAATTGATTTTAGGTTAAATATATAAGTGTATTATTGCAATTAAATATGTTTTGTATCAATATTGATCACTATTATAATTCTAAACTATGTATCATAGCTAATATTAGTAAATATAATTTGTTTCAATTCAATGATTCTCAAAAATTATTAAATAATATTATTCGCAATGCTTGAGAAGGCAAAAATTTTTTATGATGAATATTTATGTTACATACATTATTCAAATAATATTATAATTTATAGCTACTTTTTTATCTATATATATATAATAACATATATAAAATATATTTGATCAGTTATGAGCAATAGTAAATTGAGGAAAAATGATGAGAAGTTTGATAATATTGTTGGTAAATTATTACCTACCATTGAACCAAAGATGTATAGTCAATTACCGACAAATTGAGATGTTGTACGCCATTATCTTTATCTTGCAAGATTTGAATTGAAATTAACTGGTAAAAAAGAAGTTGTATCTGTAGTTTGTGAAAAAGTTGTTGTTTTTTGGAAAATGGCAGGAATTCCAATAAAACAGAAGAAAGATATTTTCAGAATGATACTACATCTGATTCATCTTTGAAAGAATTTGATAAAAAATGCAAAAAAAAAATGTTATGCAACTCAACTTCTGAGTTTTACTAATAAATTATCATTGTTGTTTGATATTGCAGCACCAAATGCAGAAAATTTAATAAGAAAAGATACCTTGCATAATATCAATAGTCAGATATCAGATATAGACTTTGTCTCAGATCAGCGTCACTTAAAAAAGCAATTTTTGGGCCCATTAGACAAGAGTTATGCTATTAAAGTGAAAAGAAAGGAGGAAAAAGAGAAACATAAAATCAAGGCTATTGAAAAAGAGAAATCTAGAAAGGAAAATATAGAAGAAAAAAGCTTCAATGTATTGGTATCATTTGACAATGAAGACAAAACTTATAATAAAAATGAAGAAAGTACTATTGCTAGACAGTAAGAAAAAAATCAGGATATTAGAAAACCCTCAAGTTTCTTTAATGGCTGATAGGTTGAATCTATTCAACAGAGAAAGATCTGTAATCATTTTAGCTGTAGCTGAAGCATTAGGTCACAATTTAGATGAAATATCTATCTCAAAAAGCACAGCGCACAGATCAGATAATAAAATTCGACAGCAAGTTTCAGATGATCTTAAGAAAACATTCATTTCACCCATGTACTCTTCCATTCACTGGGATTCAAAGCTAGTATCTGAGGTCGATAATAAAGTGGAACGTTTGGCTATTGTTGTAACAGGAAAACCATGTGCACCTGAAGGGAAATTGTTGTGTGTATCCAGGATTCCTGATACAACTGGGCGAAGTCAGGCAACAGCTACCATAGATGCTGTAAAGACATGGAAACTAGAAAAAACACTTGTGGCAATGATTTTTGACACAACTCCATCAAATTCAGGTTGGATAAATGGTTCTGCAAAGTTAAGTTACTTTGGTGCGCCTGCCAACACCATATTTTTGAAAGAGTTTTGTCTTCTGTTTACTTAAAAGTTTTTGGAGAATGTAGATCTCCAAATTATGAGCCATTTAGACACTTTAAAAATGAGGTATGGCCTAAGCTTTCAATAACTTCAGATACTACTTTTAGAAAAATAAAAATCGAAGAACCAATATTAAAGACCAAACAAGCAGAGTAACAAGTAACATTTTTTTTGTCTGGTTTACTTAACCGGAAATTTCGAAAAATGTTAAGAGATGATTATCAAGAATGTTGTCAACTTGCTTTGCAATTGCTCAATCCAAAACAAATAAATATACAGTGGCACAAACCTGGAGCCTTCCATCATGCTAGATGGATGTGTACAATCTTGTACACATCAAAGATGTTTGCTTTTGCTGACCTGGCAGAGTATGAAGAAAGTTTTATAGAGAAATTGTCACGGTTTTGTAAATTTACTTAATATAAAAAGCTTTTTGATACAACTGGATGTGTACAATCTTGTATACATCAAAGATGTTTGCTTTTGCTGACCTGGTAGAGTATGAAGAAAGTTTTATAGAGAAACTGATGCACAGTCGATGCACCGTTTAATGACTTGGAGTTCTACAAAGAAATGGTTATTTATAAAAAAATTGACAATGATGTTGCTGCCATGGAAACATTTAATCAGCATCTTTGGTATTTAACTGAAAAAATGTCCCCTCTTTTATTATTTTCTGATAAGGTATCTGATCGAGATAAAACTAAAATTGCTAAAACAATTCTGAAAAATATAAAAGAAAACTGTAAACATGATAAACATGACTTTCCACAATCTTCTCTTCTGAAGCAGAGTACTTGTTTGACCGATTTAATTGGACCAAAATCAAGTAACATTCTAAATTTATTCGAATATTCAAATGAGGATGGCGGTTGGTTGGTAAAATCCCCAAAGTTTTGGAAAGCTAACAAAAATTTTAATAACCTGTTTGAGCATATCAAATCATTGAAACCTGTAAATAATACAGCAAAGCAAGCTGTTAAACTAATTCAAGACTATGCAACATCTATTACAAAAGATAATGAGTAGAAAGAATTTCTTTTATGTGCAGTAGAACATCACCGAAAAGTACTTCCTCACATAAATAAACAAGAGATTCAAAAACTTAATTTTTGAAAATATGCTTTAAACAATCTCTTTTCTTATACCTTAAAAATATTGTTATTTTGTTGCTATAATTTTAAAAAAATGAGTTTTTTAATTTCTTAATAATTGAGTATTTATCAAGTTTTTTTGTTTTAATTAAAAATTATAATTTATTAAGTTCCTTATTTAGGCAGAAAAAAATCATACAACAAAGGTATTATTAGAAAGGAATGGGGGGGGGGGGTCATAAACCAGGTGAAAATTTCTTTTTAATAAATTTTCATTTTTATTTATTACAAAATTTTTTGAAATTATAATAACAGTTAATTATATTGGATATAAATAATAAATATATAAAAGGAGTATATTAAGGATTGTTTTAGGGCAAAAGCACATTAAAGGGGTTATAAGGGGTGGGGGACGAATATGAATTTTTTTGGAAAATAACTATTGATTAAGTTTTATCAAACAAAATTACACAAGAAAATTATAAAAAAAACGAATTTTGTTAAAATTACTTAAGTGTTAAGTTTAAAAACAGAAATGGTATTTCAAGAAAAATGCTTAAAATCAAGTTACTGATAAAACTCTTGTTGTTTTTAGATTAATTAAATGACTAAAATTAAACAATTTTACATATCTTATATGTTATTTTTATACATTTCTTTATCACCCCAATATCATGCCTCTTTTCCTTCTAACTTAATTAATAGTATTGTCAAACAATTTTTTTAAAAGTTAAAATTTTTTTTTTTATGAAATGTTTTAAAAAATGTTTTAGCTATACTTTTACTATTATGCATAGTTTATAAATATAAATTATGCATATGGTTATAAATTATAAATTATGCATATGGTATGGATATGCATAGTTTATATTAATTACTTCTAATTTATACTTATAATATATTGTTCATTTAAATTAATTATGGATATGCATAGTTTATATTAATTACTTCTAATTTATGCTTATAATATATTGTTCATTTAAATTAATTATGGATATGCATAGTTTATATTAATTACTTCTAATTTATACTTATAATATATTGTTCATTTAAATTAATTTATATTTATTGTATATATTAGTTTCATGCTTTAAACATTTTCAGATATTTCTGCAATAAGATTGGTTTAACTTCTCCAGAAGGTTTATGCGAAAAAGGCTTTTTTTGCAATGGTAGTGCTACAAATCCGAAACAACATGAATGTCCAATAGGTTTTTATTGTACTGAAGGTTCTGAAAAACCTATACCGTGTCCACCAGGTTCTTTTGGCTTACTTCCTAAGTTAACTAATGCTAGTGATTGCATACCATGCAATCCAGGAAAATGGTGTGACTTGGTTGAAAATGTTTTTATTGAAAAAAACTGTTCTGGTGGTTTTGTTTGTGTATCTGGTATATTTTAATTTCTTTTTTTTTTTCTTCTACTAATTGTAGTAAATGGTTTAACACAACTATTTTTATAGATAAAAAAGTGTACCCCTTTATTTTTTTCTTAATATATTAAAGGTTACCTTAATTAAAAACTGTTATAAAAATCAGTGTGATTTCAATGAATAATATTGTTTTTAGGATCAGCAAGTCCTAAGCCAATAAATAGTTCTCATGGATATATATGCCCTATTGGTCATTACTGCATTGAAGGAGGTTTAAAACCTATTTTATGTGATGTAGGTTTTTATGCTCCAATTCAAGGACTAAATTTTTGTTTTAATTGCCCTGCAGGTTTTACTTGTCCTAGTAAAGGATTATCTGAACCCTTAAGTTGTCCTTCAGGATTTTATTGTTTAGAGAACACTATCAATTGCACAGGTATAGCTTGTCATGAAGGTTCCTACAATCCTTTTATGAATAAGACAAGTGTTAAGGATTGTTTGCCATGTCCTTCTGGATATTTTTGCAATAACACTGGACTTTCTGGTCCATCTGGTGAGTGTGATGCAGGTTTTCTTTGTTTAAATGGTTCTACCATACCTAATCCTTTGTCTGGTTTATGCCCTATAGCTAGTTATTGTGAAAAAGGAGCAACTTTTGCTAAATTATGCCCACCTGGAACTCTTGGTAAAAAGGATTTGTATGGGGCAAAATCAATTTCTGATTGTGTCCCATGTGAACCTGGAATGTATTGTGAAAGCCCAGGCTTGTTAATTCCAACAGGACCTTGTGAAAAAGGTTTTTTTTGTCCACCATATGCAAAAGTAAGTATTAAAAATCCTCAACATTATAAGTGTCCAAAAGGTTTTTACTGCCTAGAAGGATCATCGCAACCATCACCATGCCCACCTGGTACCTATCAGCCATCAGAAAATGAATGGAAATGTTTTGATTGCATTGCTGGATATTATTGTCCAGAAAATACATCTCAACCTTTAATATGCCCACCAAATCACTACTGTGTTTTTAATACCTCTGTTCCTTCACTTTGTCCTGATGGCACATTTACAAGCAGTAGTGTTACAGGGTTAACTAATCCAGAATCTTGCAACCCATGTCCTCCAGGTAAATATTGTATGAATGGAACTTTAAACTCATGCGATGGTGGTTATGTCTGTATTACTGGCAGCAAAGTTCCTAATCCTACTGATGGAATTCAAGGTATTGAATGTCCCCAAGGTTATTTTTGTCCACCTCAATCATTAGATAAAATTCCCTGCACAAATGGATTGGTAATTTACCAAAAAGGTCGATCAAATTCTAGTGAATGTCAACCTTGTCCAAAAGGTTACATTTGTACTGGTGGAAGTACTATTCCTGTTGCTTGTGATAAAGGATATTATTGTCCAGATATTCTTACAAGAAAACCATGTGAAAAAGGATTGTACAATAGTGAAATAGGAGCATTTAATATTTCATCTTGTCTTGATTGCCCAGCTGGATTTTGGTGCAGAATTGAAGGTAATTTTTGTTTTTTTTTATTTATTACTTACTTTTATTACTGCCATTAGTATGAAATAATTTTTGCTTTTTTTAATTTTATTTTTTAATAATTAATTTTTTGCCAGGTACTGCTAACTATGAACAGAATCTTTGCCCTGTCGGACATTATTGCTCCTCAGCTACTGTATCTCCAAAACCTTGCCTACCCGGAACATTTCTAAGTTCATCTGGTGCTGTTTCTAAAAGTGATTGTGTTAATTGTCCACCAGGGCATTATTGTCCTACACCAGGATCTGTAATTTCAATACCATGCACAAATGGTACTTTTTGTCCTAATTCTACAGTGCATCCAACTTTATGTGAAGCTGGATTCTATTGTCCTGGTGCTAAAGAAAAAGTGTCTTGCCCAAGTGGCTTTTATTGTCCTATTGCATCTGAATCTCCAATTCCTTGTCCACAAGGGCATTACTGTCCTAGTGAAGATGAATGTTTAACAAAAGCTCCTGGCTCAATAGAACCACTGTTTTGCCCTTTGGGTATAAGTTTCCTTCTTTTGATATTTTTTGATAGTAAAATGTTATTTTTAAAAATGACTTTTCTTAAATTTAACTAATAAATTTCATTTATTTCTTGTTTGTTTTTTATTTTTATTTTGTTAATTGTAAGTATTTTTTTTCAATCATATTTTTTTGAAGGATACCATGAAAAAGTGAGTGCACTTAGAAAAAGTTTCAATGATACATGCCAAAAGTGTCCGCCAGGAACATATGGCAATGGAATTAATTGTATCATTTGTAAACCTGGTATAATATGCTTAGAAGGTAAGTTTTTATGTAATAACTTTTATTAAATCTAATTTACTAAATATTTCATAAAAATGAAAACTTAAAAAACTTAAATATAAATTAAACAAATTTAAAAACTTTTTTTTATAAATATTTTTAGGTTCAATAAGTGATGACCCTAATTTGGTAAAAAATATATCAGATAAAACTTATCGCTGTCCACCTGGCTACTATTGTCAAGCTGGTGATAAAATACCTCGCCCATGTCCAAAAGGCACCTTTAATGAGTATGAGTTAGGAACCAGCATCTCAAATTGCACTTTATGTCCTCTTCATCATTATAATGACCTTCTTGCTCAGAATAGATGTAGATCTTGTGGTAGTGTTGCAAAGCAACCTTTTAAAGGAAAAGAAAAATGCTTGTGTGAGGGATTACACCGAGTTTTTATTGTAAGATATTTTTTATTGTAAGATATTTTTTATTGTAAGATATTTTCTTAAATTACTCAATTGCCGGTTTTTGGGTAAGGTAGTGTTAAAACGCTTGCTTCATATGCGAGAGGTTCCGAGTTTGATCCCCACCACGTCCCTGGTAGTACCGCGCTCAACTTGTTTCACCACCCAGCGGCCTTGTTTGTCAGAGTTCGTGTTTCAGAGTTATAGGGTTGAGAGAGGGTTATAACTACTATTAAGTAGGCTCCTCATCTGTAGTGGTCTTGTCGGCCTTGAGGAGGTGAATAACAAAAAAAAAAAAAAAGTAATATTTTTTTGAATCCAGGTCATTGCAAAATTAAAGAAAAACAAAAAATCAATATTCTTCTATTCTGGTTTAAATGCTTCATGAGCTTTTTTGTTCCTCTATACTGGTTAATCATTTGTGGCTAATATGAGAAAGAATTGTTCATACTCGGGAATGCTCTCACAATTTTTTTTTTAATGATTTTCGTGATGTATATTTATGATTTTTTTTGTATTTTTATAAAAGTTGAGCTGCTTTGTTCAGATAATTTAATACTTTTTACTAATTTATCTACTTTGAGTAGTAGACAAACTAATAATGATAAGATTAAATAATGTACCTTATTAAATCATATGGTTAGAAAAACAAAACAAATCAAGTGTCTTGTTGTATTTAATGTTTCTTCTAATCTTTCAACTATTCAACTTTGTATTCATACTTTTTTTTGCTAAAATAATACGTTTAAACAATTGAATAATAGTTGAAATAATTAACTAAAATATTATTAAGTATGTTTAAACAATTGGTTTAATGCAAAGTAAAGGAGGACCATTGTAAAGTTTTGAAAAGTTATATCTATATATATAAAAGGCAAATAAAGAGACAAATTCAATAAAATAGTTGTCAAATAAAAAAAGGTCTTTAGCAAATTTAAATATTTTAGGAAAGTGATCAAACATGTGTTTGCGAAAATGGTTATGAGACAGAAGGAAATGGTTTGGATTGCTTAAAAAAACTTTATGATATTTGTGAAGAAGGAGAATGGAGAAACCAAGATGGAAAGTGTTTGGATGAAAAAAGCTGGAATAAATATTGTAGTAATGTAAGTTTATTATAAAGTTTAACATTATAGAAAAAATACGTAAATAAATAATAAATGTGAACTAATAATAAATGATAACATTATATAAATGTTATAGAAATATTTTTTTTTTAATTAATATCATATTAATTTTAATTATTAATATATAGTTTTTATGATTCATGCATATTTTGCTATAAATATAGTAATAATTTTGTTATAAATATAGTATGTATAATGAAATATTTAATTGAATTTATAGTGTGATACAAACAATTATTTTGATATTTTTATTTGTTAATGGTTTTCTTTTCTATTTACTGAAGTTATGTAAAGAAAAGTTTGTTGGATTGAATAGAGAGCTTGGATTATGTTTGTGTAAAGTTGATGACCTAGAGACAATATGTAATCAAGAATGTCGGATTGCACAACATAATAGGCTACAATACGTTTGTACGCATCCAATCAAGATAAGAATCAATTTTGAAAACAAAACCAATGTGAGCTTTTATATGTATTTGTATTTTGTGTTTTAAATATTATGTACATGACTTCCTGTAGTCTATTAGTTCTTAGTTAATTTGACTTTATTCATTATTTAGAATAACATGCATATATATATATATATATATATATATATATATATATATATATATATATATATATATATATATATATATATATATATATATATATATATATATATATATATATATATATATGTATCTACTATAGTATATTTATATGCGGAATTGCTCACTTTTTTTGCTAGCCTAAATTAAGTGAGCATCGTGAGAAAATGATGAGGGAAATTGAAGAATAATGAATGAAAAGTTTGCTGACCCATACCAAACCCTCAGTCGATGTAGCAGCACTCCACTGCGAGTCAGGCTATTTGTCAGTCGATGTATGTACTGAAGCCCCCGCACTAGGCTATTTCAGTATGATGTAATCATGCTTATATATATATATATATATATATAATATATATATATATATATATATATATATATATATATATATATATATATATATATATATGCATGTATAAATTATATGATGTTATTTTAAATATATATATATATTATATATATATATATATATATATATATATATATATATATATATATATATATATATATATATATATATATACATATATATATGTATATATAATATATATATATATATATATATATATATATATATATATATATGTATATATATATATATATATATATAATATTTAAAAAAATTAAAACAATAATAGTTTTAAACTTCATTATTCTTTTTTTCGATGAGTCATTAATCTTTTAGGTATGTTTTAATAAGTAAGCATTTAACCTGTGTTTTTAATTAACCATTGTTTTTAAATAATAGTTTTAAACTTCATTATTTTTTTTTTTCGATGAGTCATTAATCTTTTAGGTATGTTTTAATAAGTAAGCATTTAGCCTGTGTTTAAATTTAACCATTGTTTTTAAACATTTAATTAAGTGTTGTTATCAATTGGTGTTGTTATCAATTGGTGTTGATAACAACACCAATTGATAACAATTATCAATTCAAACAACATTTAATTAAGTGTTGTTATCAATTGGTGTTGCATGTTGTTATCAATGGGTGTTGCATGTTGTTATCAATTTTGACTAAATTGATTAACAGTTTGTCAAAAGTTGAAGTTTGAAAGACTGAAAAATCAAATAATCGATTTAATTGATTATAGATTTTCTATTAATCTATAATCAAATAAACCTATTAAAATACTTTTATATTCAATTTAATTTTTTCAATCTTTAATTAATGTTTTTTCATTTGATAACAGTAACTGTAAAAATATACAACAGCTAGTGTAACAATATACAACAGTAATAATATACAACAGTAACTGTAAAAATATATAACAGTAACAAAAAGAATATACAACAGTAGCTATATACAACAGTAACAGCAACATTATACAATAATAACAGTAACAATATACAACAGCAACAATATACAATAGTAATAGTAACAATATACAACCCAGTTTTTTTCTTTTTTTTTGGAGAATCAAATGCATTTAGTTTTATCATTTTTGCCATTTAAGTATTTGTAGTATATATAATGACATGTATAATAGCATATATAGCATTTAGTTGTTAAAACATATAATTTGTATTAAAATATATAATTTAAATAAAATAATATAATATAATATATATATATATATATATATATATATATATATATATATATATATATATATATATATATATATATATATATATATATATATATATGTATATATATATATATATATATATATATATATATATATATATATATATATATATATATATATATATATATATATATATATATATATATATATATATATATATATATATATATATATATATATATAAAGTGAGCAAAATTTAAAAACAACTTTACATTAAAAAATATGTAACACTTTAAAAAAAAAAAACCTGTAAAACAGAATCGTCATTTTAAAGAAATGTGTTGATGGTATGATGGCTTTTTTTTTTTTTTTTATTTCTTTTTAATTTTAAATAAAGTACTATGAATATATTAGGAATTTAATATTTAAAATAAAGATTTAAAAAACTGGAAGATATAACCAGTTTATGATTGTATCTTCTGATTTTAAATTTAAATATATTTTAATTTTTTTTTTTTTTGATTTATAAATTGATAACTAATAAATTAAATTTTTTTTTTAATTTAATAAAAGATATAGTGTAATAATAGTTGATATTTTATATTTAAAAAAGTAAAATCAAAAAATAATTGACATAATGTTGAGTTAAATCTTGTTTTCTCTTTTTTTTCAATATACTGTATATTTAATATAACAATTAGAGTATATATATATATATATATATATATATATATATATATATATATATATATATATATATATATATATATATATATATATATATATATATATATATATATATATTTAATATAACAATTAGAGTATATTATATATATATATATATATATATATATATATATATATATATATATATATATATATATATATATATGCACACATACACACATATTGTTATAATTTGTAATATAATTTTTAAAAAATAATTTTTACTTAATACCAACAATTTTTGTTTATTAGTATGAAGTGCAGCAAGAAAAATTTTTGCATGCTCCAAATTTTAAATCAGTTTTTTCAACTGATAAATGTTTTTCACTTGATGGTAGTGTTCATTCTATACCTTTTATAAGATCTGGTAGTTCAGGTTTTCTTGGAGTTTATAACCCTCCAGCAGAGTTCTTGAAGCAAGCATTTGATAAATCAACATATATTCGAAAGCCCAGATCTATTTCAGAACCTAATTTGATTGGTATAAATAATCCAGTAGTGTGTATTCATCTCAATGATGTAATCATTTTTGGTGTGTCTGAAAAGTACTTTCCACAATATGACGAGATCAATTTGTTTAACACAAATCCAAGTTTTGATTATGTTGCTTTTAAAAATTTAGCCCAGCAGCTTCAGCATTCAGATAGCATACCAAGTGTTTTTGCATTCCGATTTCAAACTGAAGGTGTTTATGTTTTTAAGATGAGTTCTTCAAATGATCACAAAATGGTAAGAAATACTTTTTTTGTTTACAATAAAAATATTTTTTTTAATAAATATTTTTTTAATTTTTATTTCACTCAGTTTATATGACTATTGATTTTGTATAAGTTTTATAAATTTATAAACATTATTTTCAATATTTCTTTCAGTTACTTTAACAGTTACATTTTTTCATTAAGTTATTTTTGCATTAAGTTATTGTTTTAGTTTTTATTTATTTAATAATTTAAGTTATTATTTCATTAAGCTTAATTTTAGTTTTAGTTTCCATGGTTAGATACTTGTGTGATTTTTATGGTTTACCTTAATATCATTATTTAATCTAAACAATTATTGATATACATACTGTTATTATTTGTATTTGATGCTTGCAATCATCACAAACTCTTAAAACTATTAATTGGTTATAATACATGACAAAACCACAAGGAATTTCTAACTAGCTTAGTTTACAAAATGCTCTAATAATAATCTTAAAATTAGTCAACTTTAATTTTAATGAAATTTATAAAGAAACATCAAGATTAGGTTTTTTTTGATAAAAAAAATCTATTAAATAATAAATGTAATAAATTATATTAAATGTGGTAGTAGTAGAGCTTCATAAGGGAGAATGTTCGAGTTTGATCCCCACCCTGTCCCTGCTAGTACTGCACTCAACTTGTTTCTCAGCTCAGCTTCCTTGTTTGTCAGTATTTGTGTTTCCGAGTTATAGAGCTTAGAGAGGGTTGTAATCATAATTAAAGTAGCCTTCTTGACTGCAGTGGCCTTCTTAGTCTTAGGGAAGTGAATAAACATAAAAATAAAAATAAAAATCTAAAGTATTGTGGTTTTCAATTTCTATTAATTATTCTATTCAAAACTTTAACTTGGTTCTTAAAAATAATGTAATTTTTCTCCTTTGTATTAGTTTTGCTAATTTGCATTTATATTATCTGGTTTTTCTTTTAGTTATGCAAGCGGCCATTACACCTCTGTACAAATATTTTGTTTTCAAAATCACTAAGCCATTGTCTGAAAAGTTTAGTTACTTGGTTCACTTAATTTCAACAGAAATTGAGATACAAAATATTGTTTTTAAAATTATTTTTTTTCCATTTAAATTTAATTTTTGTATATTAAACATTCTTATAGATTTGAAACCAAATGTTTTTGAAATTTTAATTTTTCCCAATGTTTTGAAATGATCTTGTGTTATTGCAATATTTAAAAATGTCTTTTAACTTGTATGTACTATACATAGACCTATATTTCTTTTATTAAACATTAAAAGCTTCTTGAAAAACTAATATATTCTAAAGTGTTTCTCTATTTCTTTTTCTTCTTTCTATTCTCTATTTTATTAGTGTAAATGAGTTTCAATTTGATTATTGATTAAAACATTCAACATGTCACACATTAATAAGTATAATTTACTGACTTAGTTGACTTAAGTAAAACTTGACTTGATAAGTACTTACTTAACTTAGATACTTACTAAGTCCCCCATGTCTTTTTAGATTAATATTGATACTAGAATAATACTGATCTCTCATAAAAGCCACAAAATCCATTACAGAGTTAGCATCTGGTTGTTTCTCTTTATCTTACTTGTCATTGTCTTGCTCCTGGATCTATTGTCTATAAAGCTCTTATTCATCAAGTGTTGTTGTCATATATGACCTCTTTTTTAAATCTTTCTCTATAAAGTTGCTTTTTCTTTTTTCACAAATCATGGTTGCTGTTTAAACCAGCTATCATTGCTTGTTCCATCTAACCAAAACTTAATCCTGTGTGACTCATCTTGATGACATCCTTTTTCTGTGACTGTTTCTCTACACTCTAAGAATTTATTCTTCTAGTTTTTTCCCTCGAACTTTTGTTCTTTGGAATTCTTTCTCATCTTCATATTTTCCTGACATTATAGGAAAAATAAAACTGTATTATTCCCATAATACAGTTTTATTTTTCGTTTTTTTTTTTTTTTTTGTCTATTGCTTTTCCCAATTTAAACATATTCCTGACTTTTTGAATTTTTTTAGTCTTCTGCTCTTCAACTCTTTGTTTTCTGTTAACTCCCAACTTATTTAGTGATTTGTCAGCCGAGAACCAAGAGGCCGTATGTCCCAACTTAATTAGCAATTGCTTACAGCCTTGGGAGAGTTTAAAAACTGAAAAAAAGTTAGAAAAACTTATGATATTATTCATTTTGTTTGTGTTGTTTTTATTAACTTACAAAAAACTTATAGTATTATGATAATTATAGCATTTTAATTTATGTTTTATGTCTATTTGCTAATTGTTATATTATAAAAATTTTTATATTTCATCATGTCATTTTATAATTAATAGCACTGTGCAACAAAATAAAAAAAAACAATTTTGGAACTTGAACAACAGAGTGTATCTTTTATTATATGCAATTTTCTGCATAGAAGAGATTTTTTTGGGAGTTTCTAGAATTCTTAAATTTTCTTTAAAGTTTCCCAAAATTTCTGAGTGTTTTTTGCTATTGATTTGTAAAAAACAATTTTCTCACAAATCAATAGTAAAAAACACTCTGAATTTTTCAAAGAATTTTAAGTGAATTTTTGGATTTCCGGAAATTCTCGGAAAAAAACTCATCTATTTTCCTGATTACAGGGATACCTTTGGAATGTCTTGAGCATGTCCAGTGAAGTTAATCCGGTTTGAAAGTTTAGTCCTTTGATGCAGAGGGACAGCATAACTGCTGTCTCTTGCAACATAGCTGGACTATATTTCCATCATAGCTGGACTATATTTCCCTTGATATCACTGTTCTTTCACCGAAATATTCTAGTGAAAACATTTTCCGTGCTTGTCTCTTAAATCACCTAAATTTTTAGGAAAGAAATCAATATGAGAATGCAGGAAATGCATCTTAAGAGATATATTTGTTCCAATGGGCTCACAGTTCGTTTCTCATAAGTTTCTTGACTAGTTTTCTGTAGTCGTCCAACTTTCTGTTTCTAAGAAACCCATCAATGATGGCCTTAAATGAATTCCAAGCTGTTTCTTACTAATCAGTCAGCTTTAATGAAAACATGGAGTCATTTGTTATAACATGTCTAATTTGAGGTCCTATAAATACTCCATGATTTTGGCATCACTTATCCTTGAAAATGTCTCTTTGAGGTACTGAAATCATCAAAAATGCCTTTAAGAGCTTTCACAAAATTCTTCATCAATTTTAATTTGATTTGAAGAGGTGGTAGGTAGGTTCTGTCTGGCTGTGTTATTAGACAGCTTTACATTGTGCTGTATTAGTATCTACTTCACTGCTTCTGTGAATAATGCTGCTTACAAGCACGATTGCCCCACAAGCGCATGATTCAGCAGTATTTGGTGTAACCACTTTGAATACCTATCACTAGTCCAATAACTTTAAAGTCAGCAATATTCCATCTAAGTTTCCTATAGTTGATTAACTCAAAAAAAAATTCCATGCTCTGAAGTGAAGACACTGCTTTGAATTGCTATTGTGAAGAAAAATTGCCTTAAGGCTTGCCTTCAAAATTTCTATGAACAGACGTCATTCATGAAAATATAATCGATTTTCAAAAGTTGTAATTAAATATAACTCAAAATAATAATAATAAATAACTAGCCCTGATTTGCTAGAAATATTCTGACTAAATGTTTAAAATCAGCAACATTAATATATATAAAGTCACCAAACATCTTATAAGTTGTAGAAATTTTTTTGCACAGTTATATTTATAGTTATTTATTACATAGGAACTTGTAAAAACCAATTAATTATTGCAAATGGTTGATTGTGTGAAAGAAGTAGATTAAATATATGTGACATTAAGCCTTCTTTTACTTCAGAAACCTCTTCAAAAATACAGAAAATTTCTTCAGACATTTTCTGTATAGGTTAAACTTGTGCTCAATTTTTTTTTTAAGTATTTCTATTGCAAATTCACAAAATCTTGTTTACAAATTTTTAGTATATCAGAGTGATGGGTGTTGGATCACAGTGTGTTGAGGATGGCCCATTTTTTCCATCCACTCCTCGAAGTATCATTCAAAATGGAATTGCATTTGATAGTATGATCTTAATAAAACCGAATTGGCTTGTTATAGGCTTGTTGTTAAGTGGTGGCTTACTTTTAGTGTTCATATTTGTATTAGCGCTGGTGAGTAGTTTTTTTCTGTTTTTGTTTTGGTTAACTTGTCTTTGCATATAACTTAATTTCAAAATTTGCTGTAATTATAGAATACTTTGTAATTATATGTAGTTGATTGTTATTAGTATGAATAATATATAAATTATATGTGGTTGGTTGTAAATAATTTGTAATTATGTGATTAGTTGTAAATAGTTTGTAACTATATGTAATTGGTTGTAAATTGTTTGTAATTATATGATTGATTGTAAATAGTTTTTAATTATATTTGGTTGGTTGTAAGTAGTTTGTAATTATATGTGGTTGGTTGCAAATAGTTTGTAATTATATTGCAAATAGTTTGTAATTATATGTGGTTGGTTGCAAATAGTAATATGTTAATTTTAAAGATTTGATAGCTTAATGTGTAGTGAATAAACTTTTTAAATTTAAAAGTTAAAAATGAATAAAAATGAAAAAAGTTAAAATGAATAAGTTTTGGAAATAGTTAATGGGTAAATATTTAAAAAAAGTTTTTAATAGTACAATCTTTAATATTTAGATAATACGAGCTTTTATAACCTATAATATATTTATGCCTTGCAAAAACATTTTTGCAAGGTCTACCTAAACAAATGATTTTAATATGTTTAAATAATATTTATATAAATATAAAATTTTTATATATAAATGTTTTCATGTAACATTAAATTTTATTTTATTTTATTTATTTTTTTGCTTTTAATATTTAGTTTCTTTTTAAAACATACGGTTGGAAAAAGATTCTTTATCTTGACTCAAAAAATAGACAAAAAGCATTAGTTTATAACTTCGATAGTTATTCATCTAAAGGGGCTGCTATAAATGCTCAAAAAAAGTATAATAATGCATTGGATAGTTTTCAGTTCAACATGTCAGATAATACAGGTTTGGTTTATTTTAATTAATATAGTGTTACTATAAATTATTTTTGTTAAAAACTATGAATAATTTAAAACAATAATTTTTTAAATATTCTTAAAGCAAAAGTAGAATCAATAGAATCCTCTAAAAATGATGTTTACTGGGATTACGATCATCAGATTGATTTGGATATGTTTAATACAAAAAAATATTACGCAACATTGGCAAATCAGACTTGTGAAGTAACTGCTGAGCTTGCAAAACAGAAAAATCAGGTTTACATACACACACTTAAACGCACACACACACACACACACACACACACACACACACACACACACACACACACACACACACACACACACACACACACACACACATATATATATATATATATATATATATATATATGCACACACTTTCTTCTAAAAATGTTTATATTCTAGGTCAAACAGTTATATGGTATGTTTTGTAACCAAACTAATTCTCTGAAGCAAATGTGGGCTAATAAAATGAATGTCAATGTTAGTGATATCTTATCAACATCATCAGATTTAGAGTCTTATGAGTTTCTAAGGCAACAGGTAAGTAACTTAAAATATTTTATTTTCATTATTGTTTGGTGAAGATTACAAATAACTATTATTTTTAGCTCCAGTTTTTTGTTTTAGAACCACATAACTATATTTACATAGTCAGGGCTTAAAAAACTGTAAGAATGCTTGTTGAGAGTAATTGTTGTTGTTTTTTTTTTAGTAGTAGTCATATAATATTGTACATTCTAATAAATTATGTTGAAGTTGTACATCCTGTTTTATCTTTTTCTGTTTTCCATAACAGTGCACAGAGATGTTACTGTTTCAGAAGTACCACTCATACAAATATGTCATTCTCAGTATTTTATTTATTTTGTTAAATTGCAATGCATTACAAAAAAAATTAACAATGTGAATGTTGTACATTTTTATCTTATAAAATTGTTTTTAATTGTTTTCTTCTCATTTTGTAACTGCTTCGATTTGCTTTTGTAACTCTGCTCTAATGCTAAATTAAATCATATTTGATAATTTAAACAGTTCCTAAACACATTTACACAGCTTTTAAACACATGTACACAGTTCCTAAACACATTAACACAGCTTTTAAACACATCTAGTGATCAGATTAATAGTTTAGAAATAAAAGTCTTAAAGAGTTATCATGTTAAAATGTTTTGGAATAAAATTCATAAATAATTACATTTATTCAATCCAAAAAGCATCTGGATCAATGTTTAACTTCTTTTGTAATACCCAAAACTGTTTAGACAATAATCAACTTCTTAATCATGGTCCTCGCATCAGCATGTTGCAGCAGACTTTTTTTTCCAATTAAGAATTTGCTTTGTGTTTTTTTGCTTTTTTTTTTGTTAAAAATTTTGTACTCTTAACATGGACATCATTAGCTTACAACATTTGCATTAGTATGCACATGATAACATTTGCATTTGTATACATATGATAACATTTGCATTAGTATACACGTGATAAAATTTGCATCAGTACAAGATGAAATTAGAACATAGACAGAACCAATTATCATGCTTAAAGTATTGTTTAACATTTTTATTATTCAATCTTTGTATGATCTACGGCATTTCAACTTTATTACCTCTCCAAAGTTGAGAGGTCCATTACAGTTGGAGAGGCTACGAGTTATTATTATTATCAATATTATTTTTATTATTATTATTATTATTATTATTATTATTATTATTATTATTATTTACTTATTATATATTTCCAAATGATTGATCTTAACATAATTGCTTGATTTTTTTTATATATACTAGCATGATTTGTGTGGATGATTTCAGTAGTCATAATCTTTTTGTGTGTACAATTGTTAGCAAGACAATTTAATTGTGAAGATTTAATTGGACAAAAGCATAATTTGTGAAAATTTAATTGGATAAAAGCATGATTTATGACAATTTAATTGGATGAAAGCATAATTTGTGACAATTTAATTGGATGATTAGTTTGGATATATGGTCATCGACAGAATCTTTAATTTAAGATTTGAGTTGTAAATCTAGATATTTAATATGTTTGAAAAATCTATTTTAAGATCATAAACAAAAACCATTTTTCTATAAAATATTAAAAATTGCTTTTAAAATAAATTGTTTTTTTTTTTATAAAAAATAATAACTAAGCTTTCATAAAACAAGAGTTTTTTTAAATAACTTAAAAAAATTAAAATAACAAGTAAAATAACTTTGATTAAAAAAACAATAAACATTTTATATTTATTTACATTCAGTCAAATTTTAAAGTTTAAATAAAGTTATACTTTTAAAAAGGTCTGAAAAGGTCTTTAAAAAGGACCTTTTCAGACCTTTTTTGAGAGCTATTCCTTAAGAATAAGTTCTACCCACTAAGAGTTTGGATCTTTTGAATATAATTTAAAATTAAATTTAAATTGAATCTTTAGCTGGAAGATGAATTAAAACGTCGAAAAGATCTTGGTTCTAAGTATCATAATGTTTTAAAAAAACAAGATGACATTTTGAAGCAAGAAGAAGCTGCTCGTGAAAGACATCAGGTTTTATTTATGTGTGCTATCAATGAAATTCAACGTTTATTAAATGAGTGGCATAATCGAAAAGAAGATTCTGATGATCAAGATCTTTACAAACAGTTAGTTTTTTCTATCTTTTCATTCTTAATCAGTTGTTAATAATTCATTCTATCTATTTTATTAGTTGTTTAAATTTCAAAGTTTTTTAATGAGTTATAATCTAAATTCTGGTTTGTATTTTATTGGCCATGTATATTGCAAATTCTTTATATTGAGTCTGCACTTTATTGGCTAGAAAAGTGCATTGTTTATATCATATTCATTTTTTTATGTGCATTTATTATTGTTCATTCGTTTTTTTTATAGTTATAACAATCATTTCATATTTTCAGTTTGCAATAGATTTTATTTTTACTTTTTTATATACAGATAATAAATTTAATTTTTACTTTTTTTTTATATATATTTATTTTAGACTAAAAAGTCACATCGACATTGTAACTGCCAATCTTAGTACTGATATATCTATTGAAGCTACGAGAAGAGGTGCATTTGGTATAGTATCTCAAAATATGGGTGCGATTATTCTAGATTGGGTGGGAAATGCTGTACAGCGAGATCAAATTTTTAACAGTGATAATTCATTTATTGAGAGCAATCAATTAGTGACACTTGATCAAAAAACTGGTTTGTTAATACCCAATCAAAAAAATGTGAGCATGCTATTAGCAGATGGCATTACAAGTGTTGATGTTCCAAAAGGTTTTTTTTTGCATCCTGTTACGTGGAGGGTTTACCCAATTGAAGGTTGATATTATTATGTATATATATTTAATATATGTATATATGTGTGTACGTGCATGTGTGTGTGTCTGTGTGTATATATATATATATATATATATATATATATATATATATATATATATATATATATATATATATATATATATATATATATATATATATATGTGTGTGTATATATATGTATTTCCCTACAACTAACATGTCAATAACAAGTTTATATATAGTTACTTTTTTTTAATAATTTACATTTTTCAAAGCAATACAAAAAACATACTGGAAAAGATTGTAAAACAAACTTTTTAATTGTTCTATTTTCTTGTCAGCTTAACTGTTATTATTTTTTTTGATTTATATAATTAACTATATAATTAAATTATATAGTTCAACAATTTCCCATGAAATGTTGGATAAAATACTTACAATGACCAGTTTAGTCACTTTTAAAGCCTTTTTAAATAATTTGATAAAACCTAAAAGTAAATATACATAGAAATGGGTCAAAAGCAGTAAACAAAGCAAAAAGGTGCAAATAATAGGTATGAGTGCTGAATGATTAGTAATAGAGAAATAGCAAGAAAATTAAAAATGTCAGAGAATTGCGTCAGATATACTCTAAAGATATTTAAATTAACAGGTGGCATCCAACACCATGCAGGATCAGGAAGGTTAAAAAAAACTACTCAACATGAAAATAGTCTTCTATTTCGTTATGTAAGAGCCAATTCGATGTTAAGTTATTATTATATATTATAGACGCATTCAATGAAAACCGTGAAAAATGTATTTTGCCAAATACAGTTAAAAACATTTTATTAAGTAAAAAAATTGCTGTCTATGCAGCTGTTAGAAAACCTATTTTGATGGCCAGAGATCGGCTCACAAGATTTAGATGGTGTAAGGAGAGAATTGGGTGAGAGGTTGGTCTTTGAAGTAGTAGAAGTAATTTCTAGTGATGAAAGTAACTTTGAACTAATAAATAGAAAAAGCAAAATTCTTGTTAAAAGATTTAAATCAGAAAAGCCTCAATCACTTAATCACAAAGTAGTAATCACTTTGTTGTACCGAGGTTGCAAAGTGGTGGCGGCAGTGTTGGTATTTGGGGCTTCTTTAAATTTAATGGAGTAGGAGTGATTATACAGGTGGAATCAACCTACATACATATATAGAGATGTAGAGAACTGCACGGCTCCATCAGTGGACATGCTGATTGATCAAAACATATGGTGGCAACTTCAACAAGATTTGGCACCTGCCCACACAGCTGGTACAGTAAAAGCATGGATGAAAGAAAATAAAGTAAATATTTAATGCCCTGGCCAGTTCGATTACCAGAATTGAATCCAATCGAATCTATTTGGGCTTGGATGGACAAAGAATTAGTCAAGGTACAAATAAGGTCCATAAATTGCCTAAGTAAGAATTAGATACCATTTGGAGAAAAGTTCCAAACAAAATCTGCAATAATCTTGTAAAATGGATGTAAATATATATATATATATATATATATATATATATATATATATATATATATATATATATATATATATGTGTATGTATATATATGTATATATATATATATATATATATATATATATATATATATATATATATATATATATATATATGTGTATGTATATATATATATATATATATATATATATATATATATATATATATATATATATATATATATATATATATATATATACACATAATATAATATAATAGTTGTTTTGATAAATACTGCATAATACAAAAATACTGCATAGTATTTTTGTGTAATTAAAAACTTTTGTGTTTGTACCAATGGTCTTTAAAAGTATTCTCTGTTAATCCAATATAAATGAATCCGCTATTGTATGGTGAAGTTTTTAGGTTACAGCAGTATACAATATTTTTTTAGAGGCATTTTCCTTCCAAAGGTCATTGTGAAGTTTGTCGGCAGTTGCATTGTTGGTTGGTTGAGGTGTTACAACTAAAAAAAATTTTTTATTGTGAGCAGTGATAATATTTTTGATGTTAGGAAAACAGCTGTAGCTTACTTTTAAGGGGTTGTTCATAAAGTACTTATGCTTTTTTTTGGCCAACCCTTCCCCCCTCCCCAACCACTCCCCCCCCCCAAATTGGCGTACGCTTTTTTGAGTAATCTCTACCTCCCTAAAAGTATCTACGCTTTTAACCTACTAACCCAACATTTTATGATATTTTTTTTAATTTAGTGTCTCCATACTTTTTTAATTTACCTACTGCCCCCTTATCTCAGAAATGCCATTTGCAGACCTCCTCTTCCTCTTCGAGCGTACATACTTTATGGACGACCTCAATTGAAGGTTACGTACTTTATGGATGATCTCTAACCTCAATCATGAGGTCAATTGTCCTCTCCTTAAGTTGTTTTTGTTGAAGGATGGATGATCCTTAAGTTGTTTTTGTTGAAGAGTTTATAAAATGAGAATCTGGAAAATGTTTTTTAACTAAATTTTTAAAAATTCTTGTAACATTTGTTCTTACATTAAGTGCAAAAGGAAGGTTAAACCATAAAATGTTATGTGATCTTGATTTTGATTTTGTTGCGGTATAATTTGGTTTATAACAGATTGTTTCTTGATAACCATTATCATAAAAAGATGCAGCTTTGTCAAAAACATCTTTATTGGATGAAATATTGCTAATTTGTTTGGATAACATTGTTGGTATGGATTTTATAAAATTAGGAGGGTGGTTAGAATTTACGTTAATGTACACTGGGTGGTTGGTCACCTGGTTTTCTGTATGGTTGAAAGTAACAATTAGATAAATTAAGCGTAACATCTAAAAACTTTACAATCTTTAAATTTGGTTTTACTGTCAATTCTAGATTGAATTTATCCTTAAAAAGGTTGACAAGATTTTTCTTTGTTTTTTCTGGTTCTCGTCCACTGACCTTATAAAAACAGAATAAACCATCATCTTTATACAATCCATCAGACTGAAATTCATATATGTTGTTAATAGTATGCAGGATATAAAGACCGACAAGCTCGCACAGCTCTGCCCCATTAAAACTTCCCATAGTGATGTTAAAGTTTGGGTCACCAAGTCTCTTAACCCTCATGTTGTTGTGATCAGTAAAAAGCAAAGATTTTCTAGAGTGTTTTATAACCCTAATTGTTTTGACTGATATTTCTGTGTATTGCTTAGCCTTATGTAAAGTTTCATGAAGTAGTTTTTGTGAGATAGATGGATAAAACTTATTAATATCAAACTGGATAAAATTACAACTTTTTTTGTCTTGAATATTATTAAATTATTTTATCACGCCATCTGTGTTATGCCACTGGTTTACAGACGTGGCTTTTCTCACTAAATTATTGATATTTTCAAGATAAATTTTACTCACTTTTCCTAGTTCCATTTTAGATGGGTTGATCAATTAACAATTTGTGTTATTAGCAAAAAAAAATTTGTTGTCTTTAATGGTTATAAATGCTGAGCTCATAGTAAGGCATTTCATTCTCTTGTCAATGCCTAAATCTTTTGTGATTGTTTTTGCTTTAATGGTTTTATATTGCTTTCCTTCAGATTTTGTATATGTTTTTTGTTACATTTTTGTTGTAAAGTTTGTTAAAAGATGCCTTTTCAAGTTCATAAATATTATTCAACTTATCTCATAAAGACGAAGACTTTTTCAGAGGATTTGATCTTGCTAATATCACTATGCATTGATTGCTAATATCACTATGCATTGATTTTGGAAATGGCATTTAGTTGCACTGAAACTAATATTTTTTATCAGTTTAAGTAAATCGTTTTCAAAACTTACAAGTTACAACTGTATAAACCCGGAGGAAAAATCATACAACCTCTGCCGAACTGAAAAGTATCACATAATATTATCAAAAATGAAATTATTAAACAAAAGTTGGTATGGCAACATTTTGATACCATGAGCTGGTATTAAAATGTTGCCATAAAAACAAATTTTTTATAAACAACTCTAATGTCATCAAAGTGGGCACGGTATATATATATATATATATATATATATATATATATATATATATATATATATATATATATATATATATATATATATATAGTATTTTTGTAATTACTTTTTTTGTCATTATAATTATTAATAATATTTGATGATTGCCATAGGCATGAAACTCGGAGTCATTTAACTATCAGGTGTTATTGTTTAATTTTAAAGTATATATATATATATATATATAAATATATATATATATATATATATATATATATATATATATATATATATATATATATATATATATATATATCTGTCATAAAAGTGTAATTTATTTTATATTGTTAACATTTTAGGTAATGTTTATTTTGATCCAGTCTCTATGCAGTTAGTGTTTACTTCTGACAGTGTAAATGGAGAAGCATCAAATTCAAGTTCTCGACTAATACCTTATATTCCTTACCCAATAAACCCTGAAACTGGACAGCCATTTATCATTAAACTTCAACCCTTGATCAAAAAAAGTGATTTGGTATACTTAGGTCCTATGTTTGATGGAGAAACGGGGCAAACTGTACCAATATTAGGAATTACAATCCATCCTGTAACAGGTACAAATGTTTGTTTTGTTAGCATAAAGTCATAGAGCATAACATATATCATAGAATAAATGTAATGGAAATTGCAGTTTTATATTTATAATTTAAGAAAATATATTTTAAAAATGTTGATGAAGTTGGTTTGTTGTAATTCTATTTTTATTTAAACTTAAATTCTTTTTTATGTCTACATATAGAGCATGTATTTATGTCTATATAAAGAGCATGTGTTTATGTCTACATATAAAGCATGTATTTATGTCTACATATAGAGTATGTATTTTGTCTTTTTTTTTAATTATTTTATTTGCAATCATTTGTTACAGGGAAAGCCTATCCAGTTGGTGGAACACATATTGATCCATTAACAAATCTATTGGTTCCAATTGAAATTGGTTCTATGTTTATTGACCCTGTTATGCTATCTCCAGTTCCTATAATTGGAATCACTTTTAGCAATATCACAGGTGATGTTATTCCAATTGGTGGGATGAGAACTGATGACCCATCTATTCCAGTATTGCTGTATGATAACTTTATTGACAACCTTTCTCAAAAAGATGCAAAAGTAACAAGTGCTCGTCTGTTAGACTTTAATGATTGGCATACTGAGCCATTGAATGGAGGAGAAAGAGCACTTTTAGATGTCAATGAGTTGTATCATGAAACACAAGTACTTGATGTTCTTCATGCTCTCAACAAACCAGTATTTAATAAATTGACATTTTATGATGAATTGAAAAGGTTGAAAATTATTTTACAAAATTTAAAGTTAGCAAGAGCAAGAGTTAAAACTATCTTCATAAGAGAAATGTTTGACTTAGCGAGACGCATTAAACAAACTTCAGTAATTGCAGAGACAGGTGGCTGTCTTGGAATGTATGAGTTTATGTCAACAGGACAATATCTTCCTATATTAATTGGTACAAAAATGAAGGATCCTTCAGGCTCTAACCTTGATGTCCCTATTTTAGGGGTAGAGAAGAATAAGGAAACAGGATATTGGTTTCCATTAGGTGGAACCGTTGAAGATTTTTTAGGTGGAGGTTTAAAACCAATTATGTTAGGTGATCTTGTTGTAGATAGCGTAACAGGTAACAATGTTCACTGTGTAGGTGTTAAGTACAATTTTGAGAATGGTATCACTGAACCTTTGTTATCAAATATGGGAAAAACAATGAAGCAAAAACCCCCTTTGATTTCACAACAAATTTTAAATAATGAGATAAATGCTAGAACAACTTTTTGGAAAGACCAAATAAAACTTGAGAACGATATATATCTTTTAGCTAGAATTATTCAAAATAGTGTAAAGAAAAAAGAGCAAACCATGTCAGCAGATAATTCCCTAAATAATTTGCTGAAGTTTTGTGATGGTATGTTTTTATTTTTTTGTCTTTTTTTTTAATTTACTGTATTAACATTTTTTAAATTGTACATTTTAATTCTATTTTTCTTTTTTTTTTTATAAATTATTAACTACTTTTAAATCAACAAACTACTTTTAATGATATTTTTACTTTTATTTTGTGTCATTAAGACCTGAACAAGAAAAGCTATCTTGAATTGCAGCGTCGTTTTAACTCTACCACGGAACATGCATCTGCTCTGCCCCCAGAAGTTGTATCTATGCTAACTTTATGTGATAATTTTGAACATCAAAGAGAAGAGTGTGTTCACCTAACCCATTCTAAACTTTCTGGAGATATTAAACTGTTGTTAAGTCAAGAAGATCAATTATCTAGAAAAATGGTTATTTATGTTATTTTGTGTATATATATATATATATATATATATATATATATATATATATATATATATATATAATATATATATATATATATATATATATATATATATATATATATATAT